ATGATTGATGATATGAGTGAAGCGCTTCTGCACATCTGCAATACTTTCTCCAGTTTGCATTTTAAAAAACTCATATTCTCTTATGAGAGTATGTTTTCTAGCTCTCTTTACATCAGTTGTTCCCTCATGAGTGACCTCGAGAACTTCCCACATTTCCTTGGCAGATTTGCATTGAGAGACCCTGAAGAAATCATCCATATTTAGTGCAGAAGTAATTATGTTTTTAGCAGTACAATCACTTTGAACTTTTCTTTTCTCTTCATCATTTAAACTAGACCATTCTTTTTCTTTAATTAATGGACCATTAACAATTACATCCCAAACATTCCTATCAATGGATTCAATAAAGATCTTCATCCTAATCTTCCAAAATGGATAATATGTACCACAAAACAGTGGAGGTCTATTAATAGAAGCTCCCTCAGAAAAAGGTAATTTGTTTTCAGCCATGAAAGATTTGGACCGAAAGTCTTGAATATTTTTCAAGACCCTTGCTCTGATACCAATTGTTAGAAAAGGAGGTTGAGATCAAGAGGGGGGTGAATTGATCTTTGAAATATTTTCGCAAATTACAGATTATCTATTTCAAATATTAAGAATTCTGACCAATTCTTGAATCAAACAAAACAAGCAATCAAAATAAAGGTAGCAGCAGAATTAAAGAGAGAAAGGTTTAGAGAGATACAACCAAGATTTATATTGGTTCACCCAATCCCAGGCTACATCCAGTTCTCAGCCAAATTCTAGTTGAGTTCCACTAGATTGAATGTTTTACAGATTACAACTCCAATCACACACCCAATCTACTACAAGAACCAAAATTTCAATCCTTGCACCTAAACCTTCACCAAGAACCAACTTCCAGTTCTTAAACTACCCTGCAGCCAAATTCCAGCCACAGAAACCAGTGCCCACACTTCCAGACACCCACAATACAGTATTGAAATGTAAAGAAACAAAAGAGAAGAAACTAGAACACTCAAACCCGGATTATGCTGCTCTGCAGAATGAGTTTCTTCACAAAAGAAATGCAGAAAATGCCTCAAGAAAGAACTTTGAAAAACTTCACAAAACTCGCGTGATTCTTTCTTGAAAGTAGCTCTTATGATTGCTTGATTTATTGCTCAAAGGTATATTTTAAAAGACTCAAGCAATCTTATTTATATAGAAGATTGTACAAACTACTGGTTTAATTAATCTGTTAAAACAATCTTTTAATATGTTAAAAGTCTTGAATTAATCTGTTAAAACTTCTTTTAATATGTTAAAATGTTCTTGATCATTTTCCAAATTTGTTTTAACTTATGCAACATCGTTTCAATCGATTAAAACACTTTGTAAAAAATCCCCTAAGTTGTTTTAATCAATTAATTCGCCTTTTAATCGATTAAAATCCTGCCAAATAGTTTCATAAAACTTTCTAAGTCATTTTAACTGATAACACATCGATTAAAATCTTGATAGAACTTCTTTCAAAAACTTTCAAGTAGTTTTAATCGATTAATTCGCATTTACATCGATTAAAATACTGACAGAACATCTTTCAAAACACTTCAAGTTATTTTAATCGATTATTTCGAGTTTGTATTAATTAAAATACTGTCAGAACACTTTTCAAAACATCTTAAGTCATTTTAATCGATTATTTCGATTCTACATCAGGTAAAATACTGGCAAAAGGTTTTCAAAAACTCCTTTAATGAAAACAATCGATTAATTCGAAGATATATGGATTAAAACAGTTCCAGTGTATGTTTTAAAAGGTTTTAATGGATTATTTCAAAAACCTATCAGTTAAAAACCTATCATGTAAATGTTAAGAACATTTTAACTGATAAAGCTCGAATAATATCAGTTAAAACAATTGCTTAAAAATCATTTAACCGAATACTTTGGTTTTTAACATATTAAACATGTTTAGAGGCATTTGAAAAATCTTTTAAATGATGAAACCTCATGCAGCAGAGAGATATGAATGATTATACCTATGTATAGATGCAGACTCACTAATCACTCTACCCTTTTAACAAAGTATCCTTTGACTGCAACATAATAGCCTTTGACTTCATCAAATCAACAAAATCTTTGTTTAATCAAATGATTCAATAAGATCTTCATCACTTTCATCCTTAAGATGTATAGTGCAGTAATTACTTTTAAAGATTACCTTAAGTCCTTTATCACAAAGTTGACTTATACTTAGAAGATTATGCTTTAGCCCATCAACAAGGGGCACATCTTTTATCTCCAAAGTATTTTCACCACCAATGTTTCCGGTTCCAAGGATTTTGTCTTTATTGTTGTCTCCATAAGTTACATACCCTTGTTCTTTCTCTTTGAAACTTACAAATTTCTTTCTATCACCAGTCATGTGTCTTGAACAACCACTATCAAGGTACCACATAAAATTCTTGGATTTAGCAGATACCTCATAGTCGGAGGATACATTGTCATTTGCCATCAAGCAAAGATTTGCTTCAATTTCAGAATCACTTGACTCTGAACTAGAATCACTTTCCTCCCACTCAATGTAAGCTTTCTTTTTGAAGGATTTTCTTCCTTTTGAATCATCACTTCTTTTGTTGTTGGTACAGTCGGATTTCACATGCCCTGTTTTACCACAACCATATAACATTTGAAATTTAATGAAGATCCTTCTTTCTCATTTTTCTTACCTTTAAATTATTGTCTCCCTTTGGCTTTCATGAACTTGGTAAATTTTTTTTTCATGAGACTCTGGGTTTCATCTTCTTCACTATCGGAATTATCTTCTTCCTTCTTTTTCTTGTTTTTAGAAATCTCAGTTTTGAAGGCTAAGTTTCTCTTTTGATGTTGGCTTTCTTCATCATTTAATCTTCCTAGTTGAAGCTCGTGCTCTCTCAATTTTCCAAAGAGAGTCGTCATTGTCATTGTTGCTAGATTTTGTGACTCAGTGATGGCAGTCACTTTGGGTTGCCATTTCCTATCTAAAGATTTTAAAATTTTAACATTTAATTCGTCAGTATCAAAATTCTTACCAAGCCCAGAGAGATGGTTCACAAAGTGTGTGAAACGCTTTTGGACATCAAAAATGGTTTCTCCTTGTTTCATTCTAAACATTTCATACTCTTGAATCAAGGAATTTTTCCTTGCTCTTTTCACATCGTCGGTTCCTTCGTGAGTTACTCTTAGAATTTCCCACATCTCCTGAGCACTTTTACAAACTGATATCCTATAAAACTCATCAAGAGTCAAAGCAGATAAAATAATATTTCTAGCCCTAACATCATATTGGGCCTTTCTATTTTCCTCAGTAGTCCATCTAGAAAACGATTTTGGTTCCTCTACTTCATTTACAATCATTTTAGGAATAAAAGGACCATTTACAACAGCATCCCAAACACCCCTATCAACAGACTCCAAAAATATTTGCATCCTAACTTTCCAGAAAGGATAATTTTGACCAGCAAAAAGTGGTGGTCTATTAATAGAGACACCCTCAACAAAAGTTTGGTTTTGTCCGGCCATTTTCGAAAATTTGAAAAACTATCAAAGCAAGCTCTGATATCACTTGTTGGTATTGCACAACGGAATGTTTGCGTTTGGGACAAAAACTAAGAGGGGTGAATTGGATTCTTATAAAAACTTTTCGTAAGTTTTACCGATTAAACGATAATATAATAAAGCACTTGAAATGTAAAGAGATAAGGGAAGAAGATTACACAAGTAATTTATACTAGTTCAGATCAAAAGACCCTACGTTCAGTTGTTAATCACTCTAAAAGAGGATTAACCTAGTCACTAAAACAATAGTTCAAACAGATTATAAATTACAAGTAATAAGGATTATAAAACACCTTTCTTAAGTCACACAAGAGATGAACACCTCATTTAAATCCACAAAGGATGAAGACAGTTTTTCCTAGAGACGACACAACACACAATCCACCAAGAAACCCACTTAGTGATTCTTATTACTTCTAGCCCACACTAGGTTACAAAATCCCCTTTTTCTTCCCTACTCAAAGTTCTCTCAACAATCACAACTATAAACTTTAGTATGAAAAATGTTGTTCTTTACAAAGAGTCTGAGAGATCCTTAAATAGAAATTTTAGGGTTTTGAAATTAGGATTTTTGAAAATAGGTATGAAATTTGAAATTCAAAATCATAATTGACACAAATAATCGATTATCATAAGTGATAATCGATTATCACAAAGTTATTTTCACAGAAGACAAATTTTGACCAGGATAATTGATTATCTACATAGATAATCAATTATTCCAGAGACTTTCAGAAATCCTGGTTTAACTTGGATAATCGATTATCATAAGTGATAATCGATTATTGATAATCCATTATCCCAGGTGATAATCGATTATCACAAAGTGTTTTAGTTAAAAACGAACTTTCAGTTAACAAACTATGTGTTGACTATCTTGGATTCTATTTTTACAAACTCAAATGATAAAATAGAGTTATTACAAATAGATACAACTGTATATGAGTCTTCTAATCTTGAGGTCCTTTGTCTCTAAATCATCATCAAAATCTTCAGGTATCACACCCTTGTATTTTCAACGAGGTCAATTATCGTGAGTTAGACATAATTGATAGATGTATTAATGATTATTTTATATATATTTAATATATATAAAAAATCAATAAATTTGAATTACTTTATAAAACATTTAAATCTAGTGTATTTGAATTTTTTAAAAATGATCATCCTTAAATATGATTTGACTTCTAAATGAGTTTTTGAAATTACTCTTTCTAACTCTCCACGTAGAAAACTAAAAAAGTTAAATAAATTATTTTACTCATAATTTATGTATCAAATTATTATATATAAAATAAAAATTAATTTCATTAATATAAAATAAATTTAAAAAATTATTTAAAATTATATATTCTTATTTTTTTTAGATTTATTTTTAAAGTCATATCCTAATTAACACATAACACAAAATCTAATCATAATCAAATCTTGATAAGATAAAACAAAAACTTGAAATCATGGCAAATGTTCTCTATATTTATTTGAGACTTGACAAACTTTCCTTTAGTATCTCATGAAAGTAATACACAATTATGTCTCGAAATTTTGGCACTAATTTTATAACTCCATACGTTAATATTGAGCCAATGTCACTCTTTCAGCAGGAACAATGCCAAAGAGCGTCAATATCTAACCTCTGTAGCTCTAGATACGTCCTATGCAAGATAAAAGGGACAGAGATAGGAGAAATCGGAAAAACAACAACGATCAATGATCATATACTCGTCCAATATCTAAACAATTTGACCTTATATTCAACATATTAATCACTTCTATACAACATTTTTTTTTCTTACAACTGATCTAGATTTGTATAAACCTTTACTTTTTATGTTGAAATCGATTTAATTAATAAAAACCTTTCCTAAATAGTTTGAAATGCCACTTTCAATGTTTATAACAGGGAATTTTATATTGACAGTTAAATCACTAAACTAAAATAGATAGAAGGACACATTGTAATTTTTATTTTTATTTTGAGACTTAATTTTGCTCTATTGGCATGGACATTGAGTTTTGACGTTGAAGTAGTTAAGCTGCACTTGCAAATTTGTCGCAATCCTTTATTCGTTTCTGTTCACTCCCTTTCCTGGCAGGAGAATTGGCTGGTGATGTTCGTCCTTCACCTTTAATTCAGGCTGCATGGGAGAAGCTGGATTCTTCTCAAGTTTTGGACTCCTTTCGAGGAGGAAAATTCGATGAGTCACTGCTGAACAGTTTGAAGAGCAATATGCAGTCCGTTGGTGATCTAGTTGTGGATGCAATACAAAAACAGCCCAGAGATCCACTCCTGAAAGAATGGCTTCTTGCTTTAAGAGATATCATGTTCGTAGCAGAGGCCCTTTCACTACAAGAAAAAACACTATTATCGAATGAAAAAATTGGTTGCTAATGACAAAAAATCGGTCACTAATCAGTTAGCGACCAAAATAGGTTGCCGCAAAAAGTAAGTCGCTAATATGTTAACGATCGGTTTTCATTTCGGTCGCAAAATAATTCGGTCACTTGTTCCTTAGAGACCAAAATAGCGACCGAGATTAATATATTAAATCAGTCGCTAAACCGGTGGTAAAGTTTAAAAAAAATAGCAACCGATATAATTGGTAGCTAAATCGGTCACAAAAATAACGACCGAAATTAATATATTAAATCGGTCGTTAAATTAGAGTCAAAGTTAAAGATAATAGCGACCGATATAATCAGTTGTTAATACATTAATTGAATTATTTTAATAATAATTTAACTCGGTCGCAAAAATAGCCACGGAATAATTTCAATCGCTAAATTTCAATTGTATATTATAATATATTTGTAACGACCAAAAATTTGGTCGCTAATTTAACCAAATCTGATATTTTTATTTAATTTTGTACATCCAATTTTGCAGAATTTGTACCTGCTTAATTGATCCAAATAGAACACAAATGAAAACTTAAGAACTAAAGTCAAATTATTCAAATCATAATAGGAACAATTCAAAGTCATGCAAGCACACAAGATTCAAAGTCATAACAGAAATAAAATGTTTATAAACAACCACTCAAGATTCAAAGTCTTAATATGATAAAATTGGAAATTAATCATTTGGTATATTGTCAGTATCATGTTGACTTGTAGTAGGATGACTAGGGTCAGGCATAGGATGACTATTCATCTGAATATATTGTAAAATAAGTTGCATCTGCTTCATCTGCTCATCTTGTTGGCGTTGATTGTTCCTCAACTCCTACATTTCTTCTTGAAGTGTCTTCTCCTTATTATGCTTTGCCACCAATTCAGCATTTAACTTTTCAATAGTCTCACACATTTGTTCAATTTGATGAAATACTAGAGTTTGGCTAATAGAAGATTGAGAACCTGATGTAGTAGTGAACTTTTGCTCAATGTACCAAGTCCATACACGTTTCCTTTTTTATTTTCACCTCTAACAACTAAAAAGTATATTTCATTATCATCAACGGAGACAATAGGAGACTCTTGTGAAGATGAGCCTTCATGCAAGTTATGTTGATGGACTTCTTCTCTGCGCTGCATATATTGCTCCTAAAAATGAAGTGAAATATAATTATTATGAAGAAAACATATATTGAATAATAAACTATAACTTAGATGTTAAACATACAGCAAGATAATGAGTTTTTCATTGACCCATTGTCCAGTCTTTAATTTCTTTGTCCTCTCAACAACCTCCCAAACGGTTGGTTCCCGTTGAAACTTCGTAGTCTACACATTAAAAATGAGACAAAATTCACTACCTAAAGTCTAATATATTGTATTAAATTACTTATATAAAAATATAATAAACTTACCATCTTCTCAAAGTGAGTTGCAGTAGATATGGAACCCCCACAGTAAGTTGAGGCATCCTTATCAACGACCCGATTAGCCTTGGCAATGACACTCTTGTTTTGAAAATATGGAGAACTCCAATGTAGGTCCAACGATGCTCAAACAGCTGGCGGTATCCAGATCCCCTTATCCTTACCATTCCTAACTTTGTTCATTGAATTTTTTAAAATTCGAGAACCTTTCTTATCAAAAACATATCTAAGTTTAATGCACTACATATTTACACCTTTCTTATAAGCTAAAGAAAATACGTTATTAAGAAAATCAGAGTTAAGTTTAATGAACTACATATTTACACCCACTGAAGCCCTATCTATGTCTTTTCTTATAACCATTCATTTTGAGTTGACATCATTGAGGATGTATGACATTAATTATAGTCTCTTAATCATGAAAAGTGACATAAAAATCATGAAAACTGTCACTTGTTGTCAGTAGATAAAAGTCTTAGTGAAGGTAAATATCCTGGCGCTAAATTAGAGTTTGAATTTGTAAAACATATGATGTAGACCACCAAATAATTGTGTAAGTAAACCCAATAATTATGCAATTTCCTTTCACTAAGATCCAGCAGATAATTAAAACAAATTACAAATGGTTAACCTGAGGGTGTATATTCTCAACAAGTTCCCAAATTGATCTGTCAAGCACCACCAAATTCGGAGTAAGAGGAATCTAAGAACCTATCTACTTCACAAATCCACCTACAACAAACAATAAAGAAATCCTGTAAAAATTTTCTCTCCTATATTGTTCACAATGCAAGAGAATAATAGTCTTTAATTGTGTGGCTTTACTATTAGGCATCCATATAGTGCTCGAATTTGAGCAGAACATAAAAGACAACAGTTTTGTCCCCTTTACAAACAGTGTGATATATAATCATAAATAAGGTTTTAAAAAACAGTTTTTGGGTTGATAACCACAAAAGTCAAAGTTGTTAGCCACCAATTTCAAACTTCAAACTAAAGGCGCCCCACCAAAGAGTCCAACCACACTTAGAAATATGTATAAACAATTAAATTAAAAACAAATAACGCTGACCATAGACTAAAATATTCCCAGCGAAAATTTCGCAGCATGACAAAACAAAATGACTTAAGCCGCAAGACCCACGGTCTTAACAGTTCAGACAAAGGGAAAGAAAACAACAAAAGGGACTTTTGATCCCTAACAGTCCATGTGAAAATCAATATACAGTCCAGATAACAATGAATGAACCAAGAAAATAACAACATCAAGAAATGATATAGTCAAGTAGATGACACAAAACAGATGACATAAAAACATTTGAATAAACCAAAATAGCATACCCTATTAATTTCAACATCGCAAAACAAGATCAAACTCAAATCAAAATAGTCCCAAGCAAACCCAATAATCAAAGATCTAAGATGATCGAGTCCTGCATCAAACGAATAAACCAACCATAGCAAACAGAAACAAACTAGTCGATCCCCTCCCAAACATGAACAAAATAGAAACCAAAACTCAATCCCGACAAAATCAGTTCAAAAAGAAAAATAAATCAACCAAAGAAAGAGGAGTCAGGCTCAAGGAAACACCACTATTGTTAGTCTGAGGCTTCGCATCAAATCACTAGCCTGCAATTTGACTCACGGTGAGGGCGGAGGTAGGCTGAGAGTGGTGCAGCGAGGGAGAAATGGAGTTTAGAGGGGCTGTAGAGGGGAGGGCGAGATCAAGGAGCCTAGGGCCAGCTCGTGGTGGTTTGGGGCAAGTGCACGGAGGCGCGATTTGAGAAAGGAGGTTAGAGGGGCTAGAGATAGGAGCTCGGTGAGGATGAGATGGAGGAGCGGTGGTGATGGGGGTTGCGCCGTGTGGAGCTAGGGGTTTCAATGGTGGTCACGGTGATGGGTGCGGGTTAGTTGAAGAAGATGGAAAGGGTGATTGGGAGATGAGGAAGAATACGCGATGGGGGTTGGGTCCGTAGTGGTGGAAGAGGCAGAGGCAGAGGCGCGGTGGCTGTTAGCTAAAGAAGAAGGTGAGAGGAGAGTGAGGGCGAGGTGGCGAAGGATGGTGTTAAGGTTACAACATAAAACCAATTGGCAATATGTGGAGTAGCCTAACATGTATTTAAACCATACCAAATGATATGAGGTAGGCGATGTGGGACTTTCAACACACCCCTCCAATGAAGCCTGCCGGACCAGGCAAAGGGTACTTTTGACCCAACTAAAGGGCAACTTTTGGCCCATGACAATAACCAGAAAGATGTTAGGCTTTAGCTCTGATACCATGTTAAGGTTCCAACATAAAACCAATTGGCAATATGTGGAGTAGCCTAACATGTATTTAAACCATACCAAATGATATGAGGTAGGCGATGTGGGACTTTCAACAGATGGGATCCAGAGGAGAGGAAGGTTGGTTTTTGGGAAGAAGATGGGAAAAGATTGAGAGTGGGGGTCTGGGAAATTTGGGTGAAGGTGAGGGAGAAAAGAGTGAATGAGAGTGTGGCTGAGGAAGGAATCCAGAGGCATCGTTTAGGTTTTCTTAGAATGGCACGAGAACGGGGATTTTAGTTATTAAAATCAATAAACAATACTAATATTGCTTATTATAATTAATATTATTTCTTAAATTAATAATTTATTAAAATTTTATTATTTAAATAATTTTATAATATAATTAATTTATAATATTATATTAAAATATTACCAGTTCAATAATTAATAGAACAATTAATTAAATAACTAATAAATTAATATTTATTTATTAAACAATTAATAAATTAATAACTATAAATTAAATCAATGGTAAATCAATATTATTAATTAAGTGTTAGTTAATATATATTTATTTTTAAATAAAACTATCATAAATTAAGTATTAACATTAATTGTACTTGGATACACAACAATTATATAGGTTTATAATTTATAACTATATATATATATATATATATATATATATATATATATATATATAACTTAAATTTATATTAAATAATTTAGTAAGAAGAAATATTTAGATTAATTTTAATGCAATAATCTTTAAAAAGAAATACATGTGTTGATGGATTATTGAGACTATAATATTAAAAAAATGTGAGAAATAAAGAGTGAAAAAAAATAGCACTAAGTTTAATTATTGGACTTAGAATAACATTGTGTAAATAAAAATTTAGTTAAGGTGAATGAATAATTAGATTGAATGATGAATCGAAAATTGGATTTAAAGGGTATGAATAAAAATTTACAATGTTTTTAACATGGAATCAGTAATTAAATATGTGAAAGGTAAAGAGTATAAGAGTTAACTAAAAACAATGAGGGAAATATTGATGGAAATGTCCCTACATTCCCAATAAATGATTTTGATGATGATTTAAGTCAACATCATTCAAGATGAATTAAGGACAAGCTGAATTTATGACGTTGGTGACAATGTGAAACATTTTCCTACATGCCCAAAATATGTTTTTGATAAAGATGATGATTCAAGCAAGCCCAAGATGATTCCTGAAGACTAGATAGAGTCTTAGAATACTGGATATGGAGGTACAAGTTGATGAAGTAATATTATGCATAAGCCTCCAAAACACAAGTGTGATAAAATTCATAACGTGATATTTTTCACTGTCATAATCAATTATAATGCATCAGAAATGGAAAAATGATTTTCTCTGTCATAATTGATTATACTGGTAACATAATCAATTATGACAATTCAAATTTGAAAAATATATATGTTTTGAAGAATAAATATTTTTGAATATATCCTGATTTTTATTCACAAAAATATAAATGTCCAACGGCCATTTTCTGATGCTATTTTTCTATTTAATTAAGTTTTGATAAAAAATAAAAAATACACAATTACAGAATTCGAAAATACAATTTACATTCAATCAGTTTTGAGAAAAGAATTCTGAGCAAGGCAACAGAGATATTTTACACCTTCTGAGAAAACCCTTTTTTCTACTGCCTTCTGTGCTCTCATTGATAATCACACTTGTTCTTGGAGATTGGCATTCTACAGGCTTCTACAATTTGTTGTCTCCATTACCCAGGTGTGACTGTTCTTATTTTTATTACCTTCATCCTTTGTGTATTGGTGGCAAAGGAGGTACTTTTCATCCCTAGTGTGATTCTAGGGAGGTGTTCATCCTTAGTGAGATTCTAAGGATGTGTTTATATCATTTGATTTGTTCAAAGGAGGTTTCCATCCCTAGTGTGATTCTAGGGAGGTGTTCATCCTTAGTGGGATTCTAAGGAGGTGTTTTTCATCCTTTGATTTGTTCAGATGAGGTGTTCATCCCTAGTGAGATTCTAGGGAGGTGTTCATCCTTAGTGGGTTTCTAAGGAGGTGATTTTGTTTTTAATTAGTTTACTTTTTACTAGTTCTTCTACTGAGTTGATTGTAATTTGTAAACTGAATTTGAAAGCTAGTGAATTGGGAGTCACTCTTGTGTTAAGAGTTGACTGAGAATTGGATGTAGGGTTGGCTATACCCAAAACAGTATAAATCATTGTGTGCTCTTCTCTTTCCCTTATCTCTTTCTCTTTTTCTGATTATATTATTGCTTCTGCTTTATCTATGTTCAAACAAATTATTGACTCACAAATAATTTTTTAATTTGACATCTATTTTAATTTGTGCATCTATTCACCCCCCTCTAGATGCCATTTGTCTAACAAGTGGTATCAGAGCTTGGTTAGATAAGATATTTCTAAACAATCTGTCAAGATGTCTATGCAGAATCAGGTTTACAGGGAAGGAGCCTCAATAAATAGACCACCATTATTTGAAGGAGAAGACTATTAGTTTTGGAAGGTGAGAATGAAAATATTTTTACAAACACTAGATTACGGTGTTTGGGATGCTGTACTCAACGGTCCCTACATTCCAATGAGAACAACGGAGTCTGGAGCTGTTCCAAAGACTTTTGATCAATGGACGCCGAATGAAAATAAGCATGCTCATTATGATGTAAGAGCCCGAAATGCTATTGTTTCTGCCTTAACTCATAATGAATTTTTTAGGGTCTCACAATGCAAGACGGTAAAAGAAATATGGGACACTCTTGAAGTAACACATGAAGGAACAAATGAAGTAAAGCGAGCACGTAAGAACACACTCATCCAGGATTATGAATTATTTCAAATGCAGCAAAATGAAAGCATCACGGATTTCCAGACACGCTTCACACATATAATAAATCACTTGAAAGCATTAGGAAAAAGTTTTGACAATGAGGAGTTGAGCACAAAGATCTTAAAATCCTTAGACAGGAATTGGCAACCAAAGGTCACTGCTATTATAGAATCAAAGGATCTCACAAAAATGAATATTGCTACTCTATTTGGAAAGTTGCAATAACATGAGATGGAGCTACAAAGGTTAAAGAATAGTGAACAGAATCAAACCACGACGATAACTCTAAAAGCAGGAAAATCTTCACAAGACGAAAGCGAAAATGAAGGTAAGTTTTTGGATTCCGATATGTCTCTTTTTTGTTAAACAATTTTCTCACTTTATGAAGAACAGGAGAAAGAGACAGCAAATAAAGGAGAAAACAAACAAATTTCATTGTTATGAATGTGGAAAACCTGGTCATATCAAACCAGAATGTCCAGAACTTAAGAAAGAGAAGAAAGATGTGAAAGAGAAGAAGAAAGAGAAGAACGATACTTATAAGAGCAAACGCAAAACTTATATTGCTTGGGAGGATAATGATTCTTCCACAACACAAGAGAGTTCTTTCGAAAGAAGTGATGGAGAAGAAGAAGCAAATCTTTGCTTGACGACAAAAAGTGATGATGAAGCCTCATCACAGGTAAGCAGTACAAATTCCTTAAATGAATATGATGAGTTATTTAAAGAATATCAAGATATGTATGAAGATTTTACCAAGTTATCTAAGAAATACAATGCACTTAGAAAAGAGTTTGATGCATTAGAAAATATTGTTGGTATTCTTGATAAAGAAAATGAACGCTTAAAGAAAGATGTTGAGAAATTTAAAACTTTGTCTAAAAATAAAGAAGTTGTTAAACCTTGTGAAAATTGTAATCTTTTGGAAAATGAGATTTTCAAGTTAGAGAAAATAATAAGAAAATTTTCAAAATCTTCTGAAAATCTTGATTCTATATTAGGTTATCAAAGAGGGAATTCTAGCAAAGCTGGACTTGGTTACAAACCCAAAGAAAGTCTAGAACCTCATAAAACTATTTTTGTGAAAGAGTCAAGGAAAACATATGTGAAACCAGTTTCAAAAACTTTAAGAAACTCATTTAGACCTTTTCAAAGAAAACCAACATATTTTTATTGCATGAAATTAGGTCATACATCAAACAGATGTTACATAAAACATTTTAGCATATCTAATGGCAAATATGAATGGGTGCCTAAAGGAATAAAACATTTATACATGTCTAGATGATAGTTTGAGCATCTAATTAATTATTAGAATCGGAAATTTTTTTCTTATTGTCATAATCAATTATGTTGAAAGTTTGAATTTTGAAAGTTTGAATTTATGAAAATTTGAAATTATTAAAGTTTAAAATTTTGCAGTTTGAGATTCTTGAAATTTGAAATTTTGCAATTTGAGATTTTTGAAATTTGAAATTTTGCAGTTTGAGATTTTTTTAAAAATTTGCAGTAAGACATTTTTGAAATTTGAAATTTTACAATTTGAGATTTTTGAAATTTGAAATTTTGCAGTTTGAGATTTTTTTTAAAATTTGCAGATACGATATTTTTTAAAAATTTGAAATTTTGCAATTTGAGATTTTTGAAATTTGAAATTTTGTAGTTTGAGATTTTGAAATTTTTTTCAGTTTGAGATTTTTGAAATTGAATTTGAATTGGAATTTGAAATTTGGGATTAGAAATTTGAATTTAAAATTTGGAATTTGTTGGAATTTGAATTTAAAATTTGAAATTTATTGCAATTTGAATTTGAAATTTGGAATCTGGAATATGAGTGCATTTGAATTTGAAAGTTGCCTAAATAAAAAGACTACAATTGGGGGAAACTACTACATTTCATTTCATTATCTCTACAATCATTCTATTCCCCTATTTTTGTCTCTCTTCATTTGTCTTGGGTATCCTAGATATTGCCTCCTTAATATGATGTTCTTCTCTATGACCATTTATAATGCATTATCTTCTCTACGTTGATTTATGTACTAATATGTGCAAATTTGTTCTCAATTTCTATTGCAATATTTTTCATAATTATCAATGAAACAGGGAGATATTTTGATGATATTAATTTGTGTGAAACAAGGGGAGATTTTTTATCTCTTATAATATTTTTCATAATTATCAATGAAACAAGGAGATATTTTGATGATATTAATCTGTGTGAAATAGGGGGAGATTTTTTTTTATAATATTTTTTATGATTATCAATGAAACAAGGGGAGATTTTTTGATGAATTAAAATCTGTGTGAAATTCATTCCTATCTCTAAATTAAACAAGGGGAGTTAAGAGAAGTCATTGCTCATATGAGTTAGGGGGAGTCTTATTATTAATATATTCAGGGGGAGATTAAGAGACTCTAACAC